AGACAGACAGACAGACAGACAGATATAGATAGATAGATACAGTAGATAGATAGATAGATATATAGATAGATAGATAGATAGATAGATCCTGATAGAACCTGTAATACTTTTTTCAGGATAATAATTTTATAAAACATTTCTATTTCAAATAAATAACGATTTCTGAAGGATCATACGACATTGAAAACTGGAGTAATATCTGCTGAAAATTCATTTTTACAAATCACAATTACATATTATCATATTTTTATATTTTGTTTATTTATTTAATTACATATTAAAATATTAATATGAAATATTTCAGAGACTTCTTTTTTTGAAAAATCTTACATCACATGCATTTGAATGACATGTATATTTTTTACACTTCCACTGACCAAATTTAACCACCTCGCAATGGCATAGAAGCTAAAAACTTAAATAGGGTCAGTTTTGATTTTATGTCAACTTCAAGCACTTGGCAGCATGAAAAATAATAATAAAAATAATAATAATAACAATACTCTACGGATCAGAACATTTGTGAAAACTCCTAAGCACAAAATCCTCTGGCTGATTTAAGCAATAGTGTTTGTTAAACTTAATGATCCTGTTGGTTAAGTAAAGCACCAATTTACTTACTAGTAATTTACTAGTTACTTGAGAGAAGTAATCTGGTTATGTAGCTAACTCACAATACTTGCAGTACATATCATGACTCTAGGTAAGTTGAACACTGTTCAAGAGAAGTGAAATTAAAGACGTTTCCTCAGGCGATTAAAAACTACTTGAGAAACAGATCCACTTGACATTACTGAGAATCATATTTCATAACCCTTTCTGAACAGCTCAAATGGCTTCTTTGGAACTACATTAAATTAAATCCTATTACAAGAGCTTAAGAGGTAGAAATACTGTACCATACTGTAATCATAATGAATTTCATAGCAACCAGGAAAACATTCTCTTATGTTATGATATTACTTTACTAAGAATATGAAAGAACAATTTTCACCTGGCAGACAATAAAACAGGCAAATCCTATCAACCTTTGTAGAACTAAATGATATCTAGAGTATGCCGACACCATAGCAACCACCCAGCAACCGTATACATCACGCTTAAAGTTCTCAGAACATAAAAAAGACAAAACATTTCTAATGTTACAAAAGATTTGTATTTCAAATAAATAATGATTTCTGAAGGATCATATGACACTGAAAACTGGAGTAATGGCTGCTGAAAATGCAATTTTTTCATCACATTTACATCACAATTACATTTGATTATATTTTATGTTTAATTTTATTTAATTATATTTTAATTTTTTTAATATTAAAAAAGAAAACAGGTTTATAATAAAACAGTTTTTTTTATATTATTTCAAAATATTACAAATTTTACCATATTTCAGCCTTTTTCAGAAACTTTTTCTTTTTATTGAACCTTTTGTGTTGCTGGGTACAACAAAATAGCAACAAAATGGCAGTTAAACAATCATATTTCTTAATGAATAATCAAAATAATGGCAATTTGCATGTAAACAACTGAAGAGGTTGTGTTTAATAATAATAATAATAATAATGGACTAATAGACAAAAATACTCAAACTATTATTAATAAATTGAATATATTTGGAAAGGTTTTTAACTTTTACATTTATTTATTTTATATTATAATTGTTAATATGCCTATATATAAAAAAAAGAATGATGCTGACCTTTGTACCACTCTCTTAAGAAAATGTAAACACATAGTATTTTTATTAACTAAATTTCATTAAATACCCTCCAAACCCACATTCACATGGATGCTGAATATTTTAATAAATTGTTCTGTGAATAAAAGTATACATAAACCAGAGAAATCCCACACATGCACAGATATTTTCTCTATTTTCCCGATGTAAACACAGTAAGACCCAAGAAAGTTTTAATCTGTAGACCTACACATTCAACCAGTGGTTCACATGAAAATACGGAAGACAAAAAATATTATTATTATTATATTATAATATTTTCAAATAATTCTACGTCATTGCAAATTTGCTATTTCTGTTTCAAACATGGAGTTTAAACTGTAGGATAATTTGAAGCGTGAACCACCCTTTTCTTCTCTGCTTTGCATATGAAAGTAAGCATCCAAACCTACAGGGCTTTGCAAATCATTTACATGAAGATGTAAATCGGAGCAGAGAACCTTCCCCGTCTGGCCCCAAAACTTTTCACAGGAATCAAGTTCAGCTCTGTAAACCATAATTAGTGGTGCTCACTAAACTAAACCATATAGCATAGAGTTTGATCAAATCCTGTGTGTCCTCAGCTGAAAGCACTGTTATGTTAAGGCAGTGATTACACTGGTTCTCATGTCATCAGGATATTGTAAATGATGCAATTCTGATCATAATTACAGTAACCATAATTACAGTAAAATATATGGAGCACGGTGGTTTTAATTGCACTATACAGGTAAGTATCCTGCACAATTTAATTGCATTTCTGCCACTCGGATAAACAAGAACCAAGGACTATTTTGCATTTGAAGCAGCAAATAAAAACAGCAGCAACAAACAAGCCTACTGTATTTGTGTTGTATTCTGTTGCCAAGAAAATAGAGACGAAATGGCTGTAAAACAATATATTACTATTAAAATAATGGCAAGGAGCACATAAACACAACTGAAAAGGTTTGCCCATGTCATGTAGACATTCTAATAATAATTTAATAATTTGAAACTCCTCATTGATGTAATTTTTAATTCAAATGAACGTTATAAAAGTACTACAATAAACTGACACTAAATTAATTTTGACTGGATGAGCTGTGTTCAAAATAACAGCTTTCAAAATAACAATATATATATATATATATATATATATAAAATTAGTGCATTTAGCAGATGCTTTTATCCAAATATTTTATTTTACAATTTTATTAAAATACAGATATATTAACATTTTTTCTAAATCTACATTTAAATATATATATATATATATATAAAAGAGAATAGTGACATGGCTGTAAAACAACTATATTTCATTAGGGAGTAATGAAAATAAGGTCAAGGAGCATGCAAACACAACTGAAGAGGTTCCCCGTCTCATGTAGACATCCTAAAAACAATATAATATTAATTTAATCTGGATTAAATGCACAGTAATCAGACATATCAGATTGGTGTACATGTAATCAATGCCAATGTTTGTATAATCTGTTGCTCAAATGCGGTCGATAGGTGTTGTTTGAAAATGCCACAGGCTTGACTCAAGGACAAGTGTCATGTAAGAATAAACACATCTATATACACACACACACCCAACACAAAGCAGCGTTGACTGCGGTGACATCACTCTATGCCGTCATAAGACACCAATGGGAAATTCCAACATGACACAATCAATGGAAACAAAGGGCCCTGCCCTGAAGACGCGGATCAACCCTACAAGAGCAACCCTATCAGCTGAACAGAATTTCTCGTACCCTGACTGTGAGCTCAGAAGAGATTATGTTTGCTGTCACTAAAAAAATCTAAAAAAGCTAGATTTTTGACTTTTTGAGTTTGGTGCGTGCAAGTTGTGTTTATACAAGTATGGACATTTACAGTTCTTGCCGTTTTCTTATTAAGACACAATGCTTGTGAAGTTTGGTGAATCCAGATACTATTTTTCTCCAACAAACATAAAAACATCCACTGAGCAAATTACATACATTTGTCTTTAGATTAGGTTAGAATGACAGTATGTAGGTTGTATATTTTAAAGATACGTGCATCTGTAAATGTGATTGAGATGAAAACCAATGCTAACAGATGAGATCTGCTTTCAACAAACAGTGTTGAACAGTATATTTCACACTGTTAAGAGCCCTTAAAAACAAAATGTGGGACTGGTAAAATGTTTACAATAACATAATATTTTAGTGATTAATACTTTGATTGCAAAGACTTTCATGACATCTGGTTACGTTTGAATGACTGGTTATAAAGGCAGATGTTGTTTGCCCCCATAATGTATTGACTAGCAGAGGTTCATTGCTAAAGCTAACCAGCTAGTAACCCTGTATTGGCTGCTGTGTGCATTAAAGGGATAGTTCATCCAAAAATGAAAATTTGATGTTTATCTGCTTGTCACAATCTATCTACAATCTCAATTAGGAGTGTCAATGGTCCATTTGAGAGATAGGTGGCGGTAATGCACTTATAAGTCTGCGATCCGCCATAAAGCAAGAAGAAGAAGAAGAAGACGCGTCACGCGCCGGCTGTTTATATTAAGTGTATATTTTATTTAAAATATTTCATTTTTATATTTTTAAATATATTTTATATTAAGATGTGCTATACTATAATTGCTCTGATTATTATTATTCATAAATGTAAATATTTTTTTTGACAAGTTTTTAACTTTTATATTACATCATTTTTATATATTACTTTTAATATATTTTACATTGTTTTTATATATTTTATAGAATATTAAGATTGGATTGGACACTGATTATTATTAGTAAATGTAGATACTTCCAACATTATTTTTCACTTTTATATTTTTATATTAAGATGTGCCTGTAATGTAAAGTCTCTTGTTGCTTTTTGTTTTATTAAAGTCAAATCTATATCACAGTGAAAATCTATAACTATATTGCAATATTTAATTAACCACTATTGGTCTTACCTCATCTGTTTCTGGCTCCAGCAGATCCCCTGGTTTGGACTCAGTTTCCGCTTTAAATAAATATGTGTGCTTTCTGCTTTCTGTAGAGTTGTGTGGGCTGGAAGCTTCAGATTCAAATCCAATCAGATCATGCACAGACACCTGATCTCCGCTTGGTTCTTGGGGTCCAGGATGACTGGACTTTGATTCTGGCTGTAGATTGTGGTCAGGAGCAGCAGGAGTTTCTCTGGATGGAGACAGAGTCGAGGAACGTCTCGCCCTAGTTCCCCATCTTCGGGGTTTCACTGAAAAGTCATCGTAAGTCACTTGTGTGAGTCGAGGCGAGACGTCAGCGGGCTGGACGGTGGAGACCAGAGTCTGTGACGCATCAAACGATATTAAATCATAACTCGTAGGAACTTCCTCTCGTAATCTCTCTGCTGCTTCACACGTTTCCATCTCCATCTCATGTTCTCGTTCCTGTCTTCGTTTTTCTTCTTCTTTCAGTCTTTCAATCTCTTGGCAAGAAGAAGAAGAAGAAGACGCGTCACGCGCCGGCTGTCGAGGATGTGCTCAGGACAGTTCGGACATTGTGGTGAATCAGAGGTAAAAAACTATATAAATACTGTTTAGTTTCTTGCACAGACCGATCGTTTCGTGTCTTTGCACATCATTGTATCGTCACGAGCCGCAGGGTTTAATTTGGTTTTGTTTGTGTATGTTTTTTTGACTCTCAAAGCCGTGATTCCCATTCACTTCCATTATATGACTGACAGACTGCAACAGTTTGAGTTAAAAATCTTCGTTTGTGTTCTACTGAAGAAACAAAGTCACCTACATCTTGGATGCCCTGGGGGTAAGCAGATAAACATCACATTTTCATTTTTGGGTGAACTATCCCTTTAAACTACTGAAAGCCAAAAAGGCCCAAATTGTTGAGTGTGTTCCACTAGTGTTTACAACCAGCTGAGGTTAGAAGGGCCTATTTTCATTAAAATTTAAATATACTTTATATAACTGATTCTGATTGCATGAGCCGTGTTTGAAATGCAGATAATTGCACACCTATGATTGCACATTATATATAAAGGTGCCAAGTTGCTACATTGCATTTCAGATTTCAGTCAGGCTAATAGACAAAATTATTCAGATTTTTAAAATTAATTAATGAATGTAAATATTTCCAAAAGTGTTTTTATTATTCATAATAAACTTTTTTTGACAAGTTTTTAACTTTTATATTACATCATTTTTATATATTACTTTTAATATATTTTACATTGTTTTTATATATTTTATAGAATATTAAGATTGGATTGGACACTGATTATTATTAGTAAATGTAGATACTTCCAACATTATTTTTCACTTTTATATTTTTATATTAAGATGTGCCTGTAATGTAAAGTCTCTTGTTGCTTTTTGTTTTATTAAAGTCAAATCTATATCACAGTGAAAATCTATAACTATATTGCAATATTTAATTAACCACTATTGGTCTTACCTCATCTGTTTCTGGCTCCAGCAGATCCCCTGGTTTGGACTCAGTTTCCGCTTTAAATAAATATGTGTGCTTTCTGCTTTCTGTAGAGTTGTGTGGGCTGGAAGCTTCAGATTCAAATCCAATCAGATCATGCACAGACACCTGATCTCCGCTTGGTTCTTGGGGTCCAGGATGACTGGACTTTGATTCTGGCTGTAGATTGTGGTCAGGAGCAGCAGGAGTTTCTCTGGATGGAGACAGAGTCGAGGAACGTCTCGCCCTAGTTCCCCATCTTCGGGGTTTCACTGAAAAGTCATCGTAAGTCACTTGTGTGAGTCGAGGCGAGACGTCAGCGGGCTGGACGGTGGAGACCAGAGTCTGTGACGCATCAAACGATATTAAATCATAACTCGTAGGAACTTCCTCTCGTAATCTCTCTGCTGCTTCACACGTTTCCATCTCCATCTCATGTTCTCGTTCCTGTCTTCGTTTTTCTTCTTCTTTCAGTCTTTCAATCTCTTGAGTTCTTCTTCTCTCTTCTTCCATCTCTTTTTCTTTCTTTAGTCTCTCTAATTCTCGTTCTTTTCTCAATCTTTTCTCCTCTTTCTGTCTTTCAATCTCTTGAGTTCTTCTCCTCTCTTCTTCCATCTCTTTTTCTTTCTTTAGTCTCTCTCTTTCTCTTTCCTGTCTCAGTCTTTCTTCTTCTCTCTGTCTCTCCTCTTCCATTCGTTTTCTTTCTTCAATTTCTCTCTCTTTACGCAGTCTCTCTAATTCTCGTTCATTTCTCAATCTTTCCTCCTCTTTTTGTCTCTCCAATTCCTGAATTCTTCTCCTCTCTTCTTCCATCTCTTTTTCTTTCTTTAGTCTCTCTCTTTCTCTTTCCTGTCTCAGTCTTTCTTCTTCTCTCTGTCTCTCCTCTTCCATTCGTTTTCTTTCTTCAATTTCTCTCTCTTTACGCAGTCTCTCTAATTCTCGTTCATTTCTCAATCTTTCCTCCTCTTTTTGTCTCTCCAATTCCTGAATTCTTCTCCTCTCTTCTTCCATCTCTTTTTCTTTCTTTAGTCTCTCTCTTTCTCTTTCCTGTCTCAGTCTTTCTTCTTCTCTCTGTCTCTCCTCTTCCATTCGTTTTCTTTCTTCAATTTCTCTCTCTTTACGCAGTCTCTCTATTTCTCGTTCTTTTCTCAGTCTTTCCTCCTCTTTCTGTCTTTGAATTCTTTGTCTCTCTTCTTCCATCTCTTTTTCTTTCTTTAGTCTCTCTAATTCTCGTTCTTTTTTCAATCTTTCCTCCTCTTTCTGTCTTTCAAGCTCTTGAATTCTTTGTCTCTCTTCTTCCATTTCTTTTTCTTTCCGTATTCTCTCCATTTCTTGTTCTTGTCTCAATCTTTCCTCTTCTTCCATTCGTTTTCTTTCTTCCATTTCTCGCTGTTTCTTTAACCTCTCTTCTTTTTCTCGTTCTTGTCTCAGTCTTTCCTCGTCTTTCTGTCTCTCCAACTCCTGAATTCTTCTCCTCTCTTCTTCCATTTCTCTCTCTTTCTTTACTCTTTCTTCTTCTCTCAGTCTCTCTTTTTCTTCTTCAATCCTTCTCTTCTCCTCTTCAATCTGTCTCTCCCTCTCTTTTTCTGCCTGCCTCCTCCTCTCCTCCTCTTTTCTTTCTTCTTCAATTCTTCTCTTTCGTCCTTCTTCTTGCTTTCTCTTTTCTTCCATCTGTCTTTGCTTTTCCTCTTCCTGTTTTCTCTCTTCTTCAGCACGTTTGCGTTGCTCCTCTTTCTGTCTCTCTATTTCTCTTGCCTTCCTCTCCTCCTCCAAAAGTCTTTCCCTTTCCCGCTGTTGTCTTTCTTTCTCTAACTGCTCATCTTTTCTCTGTTTTTCTTCTTCTTCCCTTCTCTTTGTCTCCACATCTAGGCTCGTCCCAAGCCTTCGGTAAACAGGAACAAGGACATAGTCCTCCTCTTCATCTTCATGGTCTTCCTCTTCTTCTACATTCTCCACACTAGCAGCAGAGTTCTTGATTTCTGCCATACTTGGTGGTTTGTCAACAGGCACCTTTTCTGTCGCTGCAGGTTTTTCAGATGATCTCTCATTTGGTGTCTTCTCAGATGGTGGACTACAAACATAAGAGTTTTGAAATATGTTATAGCTTTGAAAATAAGGACAACATAAAACTAGAAACATATATAAGTATACATACTTAACATTCCTGGCAACATTTCCATTGGCCCCACCACAAAATAATTTAAATTTTTATGTTTGCTAAGAATAATTTTTATATTTGTCATTAAATGTTTTTTTTTGTTACTGCCACAGTAGGCCAATGCAAAAAGAATATTTGCAACAAATTATTCAACTACATTATTCATGAACACACTTTTTTCTGATAAATGATTGCATAAATCATAATTGATTGGTTTATACTGATGTTTTGAAGACTATAGCAAATCATTTTGCATTTTTTAACGAAATCAGTTAGTCAGCTAGATAACATTATCTTGGTGACAAATCAGCAAAATTGACAAAAATCAAACGTTTAGGTTAATTGTGAAACAGATTCTAAATAAAAATGTTTATGTTAGGCTACTAAATAAATGAAAAGAAAGAACATTTTGTCACATATTTAACTGAAACATTCGTTCCTGAATTATTCAGAGCTTTTTTTTAACGAATCTGCTGAATGAATGGCTCATTGACTCATTCACATGTTTCGTTCCTGAATGATTCAACGCTATTTTGAATGAATCTGCTGAATGAATGGCTCATTGACTCATTCACATGTTTCGTTCCTGAACGATTCAACGCTATTTCGAATGAATCTGCTGAATGAATGGCTCATTGTCTCATTCACTTGTTTTGTTCCTGAATGATTCAGCGTTATTTCGAACGAATCCGCTGAATGAATGGGTCACTGACTCATTCACATGTTTCGTTCCTGAATGATTTAACGCTATTTCGAATTAATCTGCTGAATGAATGGCTCATTGACTCATTCAAATGTTTCGTTCCTGAATGATTCAGCACTTTTATGAATGAATCTGCTGAAGGAATGGATCATTGTCTCATTCGCTTGTTTTGTTCCTGAATGATTCAGCGCTATTTCGAACGAATCCGCTGAATGAATGGCTCATTGACTCATTCTCTTGTTTTGTTCCTGAATGATTCAGCGCTATTTCGAACGAATCCGCTGAATGAATGGCTCATTGACTCATTCTCTTGTTTTGTTCCTGAATGATTCAGCGCTATTTCGAACGAATCCGCTGAATGAATGGCTCATTGATTCATTCACATGTTTCGTTCCTGAATGATTCAGCACTTTTATGAATGAATCTGCTGAAGGATCAACAGAGATTTCAGAAGCTGTATTGTCTCTTTTGTCAGAAGTGTCCCTGCGCTGAGCTGCTGTAGATCGATCGAAGAGAAGGCTGATCCGTCTCTTAATGCTGCCTCCGCTGACGTCCTCGTCTCCCATCTCTCCTGTATCCACCGGAAGCTTCGAAGGCTTGGACTCAGAAGGAGAATGTGGTGGCCACTCTTTCTCCATCTTGCTGGTTTCAGCATCTCTCCTCACCTCCTTCTCAGGTTGAGATGGTGACTCGAACTTGGAGGTCAGCTCAACGGAGAGACGATTTCGAGGCGGCCAGCATCGTGAAGACACTTTGACGTCTGCTTCAGTCTTGGCTGCTTCTCCTTGGTCCTTCTGGTTGAGAATCTTTTGATCCAGAGAACCCAAAGATTTTGCTCTGCTCCTGGGCTGAACATCCTTCACATCTTCAGCGGTCACAGCAGGCTTTGAGTTTGGACCAGTTTGGTTATTAGAACCAGGACTCTTAGTGGGTTCTGGTTTAGGTTTAGCCAATAAGTCAGGTTTTGGGCCGAGTGGGACGGGTTTAGGAGCTGCAATTTGATTAGACCCATTTACTGTGCCATTTGAGCCTGATTTTTGGGATTCTGATAGATTTGGACCACCAGCACCAGCTTTTTTGATATCCAAAAGTGCTTCAGAAGAGGCGGCTCGATGGAGCTCTCTGCTAAAGTTGGTTTTTGGGGCCCGGATTGGGCGGACGGTGGAGTTTCTTTGCAGGGCAAATGGTTTAGGCATGAGGTGCGGTTTTGGGCGCAACGCTGGCTTCCCAGTGTCTCCAGGGAGTGCAGAGGCTGAAACTGAAGGTTTGTCTGGGTTGATGAGCGATTGGCCCATTTCCCTTGTGGTCGCCCCCACCCATGCAGCCATGGCTACACACTGCACCTGGATGGGAAAACAAAAGAGAAACACCCCTGTGGGATCTCAGTGGTATTAACATAAATTTTTGGGATGTTACCATAAACATGCTTGCAAAAGATTGACATTATATTGTGAAAAAAATCACAATATAAAATAATTACAAAAAACATATAAATAAAATAAAATAAAATACTTTTATGTTATATTCTCTTATCAAATCTCTTTTGATCACTTGTTGAGTTGAGAAACTCTGAAAACTTGTGTCAGTGTTTTATGCATGCAAATGTGTCTGCAAAGGAAAAAAAACACTGTGATTTGATTTTTCAAATAAAACAACTGGAGTAAGTTTAACAAGAAAATACTATTTTAGTCTTCAAAGCTTCATGTGTAATTCAGTGTGCTACTTGATGTTTCTTTGTAATTATTTGTAAAATTTACTAGCAATTTCTGATTGAAAATTGTTCCATCACCAATTATTTTTCAATATTAATGCAAGTAATCATTATCATTTAGCTAAATGCATTACTAACTTTAACACATTTAAAACTTGAGGAATTTTTTGAAAGTTTTGAAGAATTTTCAAGTAGATCTACATCTTATAAAGCTAAAATATATTTTTTTTGGATGAAAAATTAACACCTGTGAAAATTTTAGGCAAGTGTGTATAGCAGTCATGAAAATCTGAGGTTAAATGTCAGTCATATCAGATACAAGAACAGTTTGTTATTAATTAGATTGTCAGGTTTTTGTTTGGCACTTTTCAAATGAAGTGCCATTGCATTTAATTTCTTTTTTTATGATGATATATTCTTTCCTCTTAAAGCAACCTAAAAACGCCCACACATTGTGCTGATCACTTCAGTGGCTTGCAAGTAGTGCTGTCAAATGATTAATCGCGATTAATCGCATCCAAAATAAAGGTTTTTGTTCACATAATATATGTGTGTGTACTGTGTATATTTATTATGTATATATAAAAGCACACACATACAGTATATACTTTGAAAATATTTACACGTATTTACATGTATATATTTATATTCATGTAATTTATGTTATATATAAATATATTTATTATATAAACATAACATATTTTTCTTAAATATATACAAGCATGTGTTTGTATTTATATATACATAATAAATATACACAGTACACACACATATATTATGTGAACAAAAACCTTTATTTTGGATGCGATTAATCGCGATTAATCGTTTGACAGCACTACTAGCAAGACAACAAGGAAACCTCTGAGCATCAATATGAATGCAGTACAAGTGAGATAAGGAAAGTGTTACGTAATATCCATGAAGTAGTCAAATGTTTTTGGATGGTTTAATCAATGTGCATTCTGGAAAGATTTGTTTGAATGTTCTAAGTCAGCTCTTCTGATTTAGATCACTAAGTAAATAAATAGTCACTTAGTGGACACTTTTAGGCATCATGAAGCATTTTCGCTTTCAGTACGGACAGAAAAAGATGTTAGGACCTGCTTAGGACTTTAGCTGGTCGTTGTGCTCTGACCAACACAGTGGTTTGTATGGTTAGTTTTAGAAATTTGCCACTATTTGTTAGCTGCTGTAACTACAACGTTACATGGGCAAAAAGCTTTTTTCTCAATTAAAAGCCATTCAAAAGATCTTCTAAACAGAATATCTAAACATGTTTAACATAAAATGAATTTACTTGTGCAGATGATTTCAGAGAACATATCCTGAATACCATTTATATTTTATATATTGGTAAATATTTTTTTCATGTTTTAAGCACAAACCTTAAATACAGTTATAGATTCATGCTATATATTAATATATATATATATATATATATATGAAAAAAGAAAATTATTATAAATAATATTAATTAATAAATAAATCTATTTAATATAAATAAATTTAATTTAAGATATATGCTCTGGAAATATTTTTTATATCATTATATCATGTAAATCATCATTTTGTGTTAAGCCTGTTAAATAAGACAAACTGCTGATTAATAAAATTCATTTTTACATTGTAAATAGAAGAAAAGATAGAAGATAGAAGAAGAAATAAATAGAAGTTTTTCATTAGTGCCACATTGCAACTTCCTTGCTACTGCTATGCAGGCTAATGGAGATCTCTAGAGGGATATCAGACCTTTTGGTGGAGACAGAATGAACGAATCAATGAACACTTCAAAGCAGCCATAAACATATTAAAACAGCGCTCTCTGGGAAAGACACAAAAGGCCAATCCAGTCGGTTGAGCTCTCTGAGGCCATGTTACTCTGGTTGGGCTAGATTTTTAAGTTTTTCCATCCAATTAGGGTTACTCAAACAAGAAACGACTAGACGTTTCTCTGCAGGCTATTTATACACACCCTGCATGACCCACAATAAATGACCAGCATCACTTTCACCCGATGTTTGACTCTGATATCAGCAGTCTGCATGCAGACAAACACCATCACATGGAGAAATTACTCATTTGCAACCAGTCATGCACTAGCCTGAAATGAACTGAAGCAATCCGAATGTTGACGTTTCGAAACCGTCGCCCATGTTCTCTTATCATTGTGCAAAACTCACAGTGCAAAACAAGTTAGAGCCTGGCTTGTTGTGAGAGTTTTGAAGAAATCCCTTCCCCAGACTGCAAACAAAGTTAGGCAAAGCTGAGTTAACTTAGTGTACTTTCTGACTTCCATTGGCCACAAATGCTTCAGGTGAAGACACTGAAACATTATCCACAGGTGAAAAAATGCTCACTTCTCATATTTTGGCTTGGTGTAAATGTGTCTTCATTCAACAAACCGGTCCAACAGCAAGCTAGTATTGTCAGATGAGAAATAGCTGGACAAAATGTGTTATACTCAAAATCAGACAATCCCTTATCGGTATTTATTGGAGTTGCTGCCTAAGCAGCATTTCTATGCAAGATATTGAAAATGATAGTTTAATCACTTGAGCAACCTCAGAACAAAAATGTCCTTCTCATGGACACACTTTAAGTAAATTAGATTATTAAAATGCATACTGTCTTTCTCTGCTTAGTGAGATCCAGTCATTTTGACCTGGGATGGTCAAAGGACAGAGCTAATGTTCAAAGTAAGTAAGTTCACAGCATGTAAGATCTGCAGAGCTTACACTCACCATGAACATATGCAAATTATTATATACAAATTTACATGCTGAGCTTATAACATGGCCAGTGCGTGTGTGGAGAGGAGGTTTATTTATTTAACTGCGTTTCTGTCACGCTTCTCTGAATTTACATAGTTAAATTTCACAAGTTTAGTTAGAAACTTTACTAATAACCGATGACATCATATAATTAATTAGTTAAACAATTAAATGCAGAATCAAATATCTATAAATGGCATCAAACTCAGATTCATACATTAATGTTAAAGTTAAGCATTATATAATGTTATCGACTTGTTAATAAGGGTTTTACATTTATAAAAAGCAAAGAGTGGGGAAATAGAAAAAATAAAAGCTTATATAACAGGAGCACAGTAATCTGCACCTGTTGGTTGGTAATAAGTAACTTATAAATAAGTGCCTCTTACAATAAACCGTCTTTGAACCCTGTATTATTTCCAGCTGTGGGGAAAAAAGCACTATTTTGGCAGTTTAGTCCGGAGGTACTATTAAGTATACAGAATGATTAACAAAATAAATATTACAACTGAAATAAGTATACAGTTTATTTACATTAGAGAGTGAATGAATGTGGTCATTAGCATATTAAACACACAAATAAACAAGTTGAAATAATGTGCATTTACCTGTATAGTGATACAATTATTCCATAAGATTGTACATATAGATTCCAAGCTCAAATACACGTCTGCGTCCTTTTGGGTTGTAGGTGTGCAGCTCAAACTTTAAAGAAAGGAGGGCGGGTCGCAAATGTACGAATCCTACTATGGCGACTGCTAATCTCATGAATATTAATTTTACGTTCTATGATAACATTACGGGAGGAGTGTCCGCTCTTAGTTAATATTCATAAGACTTCGGCAGAGCCTGATTCTTTTATTTGATAACTTCTTTGCCTTTCGTCCAATCATCAGGCAGCTTGGCGAACGTCACGGTACGTAATTAATATTCATGAGCCAGGCCTGGAAGGGCGATTCCTGTCAGCAGCACGAGCAGCTGCGGTCTCGAGGTGTTGCGCGCGGTCACTCCTCCTCTCATAAACGTGCTCAGCCTTCAACCGGAAAAACCAGTTAAACTGAATGGAAGGAGAAAGACACGGGGTGTGTAGAAAATACTGTATGAGATGGGAGACACACAGATATAGGTACATGTTCCATGATAAACTTTTAAATGACAATGCGTGGGATCTAATTAAGTTGGCATGAATATTTGTTAAAGGGATAGTTCACCCAAAAATGAAAATTCTGTCATTAATTACTCACCCTCATGTCGTTCCAAACCCGTAAGACCTTCGTTCATCTTCAGAACACAAATTACGATATTTTTGATAAATTCCGAGAGCTCTCTGACCCTCCATAGACAGCAAGGGAACTACCACGGTCAAGGCACAGAAACGTATAAAGGACATTGTTAAAATAGTCCATGTGACATCAGTAGTTCAACCATAATTTTAAGAAGCTACGAGATTAATTTTGTGCGCAAAGAAAATAAAAAAGAACGACTTTATTCAACGTACTCTTTTGGGACAGTCTGCCGCCATTATCAAGAGTATGGCGCATACTTGTGCATTCCTCTGCTCGGAAACAAGGCGCAGCACATGCGTTTTTTACAGGCAGGAAAAGCATGCACATGCATCGTGATACTCTCCAAAATGGCGCCAGGTTGGCGCTGAGGAGAATTGTTGAGTAAATTCATTATTTTTGTATAACTATCCCTTTAAGGCTGTTAAAGCTGTTTTAAATAGCAAAACAGTACTTTGTCAGCCAACATCATGGTTGGTCTTCACAAACTTTTATTTTCTAGCTAAATGCTTTTTGTTTTTGTCTTTTTTAAATACTGTTTTACTGATTTAGGATGAAATATGGCATGCCATTTGTCCATATTTTATTGACCGTAGAGTATAATATCTATCTATCTATCTATCTATCTATCTATCATCTTTTTTATATTTTGTGAATCATAAGCAAAGGACATCAAAAGTATTGTTTATTTTGTTGCTAATTTAACCATGCGTTTAGGGTTGTCTTAAGACTTAATGTACATTTGGTGTGACATAACATACAGTTAGACTTTGGTCAAATGTCAACTTTTTACAGGTTAGTTAGTGGTATAATATCTAACTAGTTGAATATCTATACTGTAGTGTTAGCACTTTTACTTTGTTCAAACAAAATCTATAACAGCGGCAATTGGATTTATATGATTAATATGCAATTCAGTCTGATTTAATATTATATATAACCTAAAATGAATTCAAGTTTATAGTGAATTTTTAATATATTTATGCCTCCACTGCAGCTGTGTACAGATAATTTTTTCCCCCCTTGACAGAAGTCTATAGGAAATGAAATAACGAGTCAGGAACATAAACAGGAAACACAAACGACTAGTGGACTAAACAAAGATAGATTTCAGAAAATCCATAGAGTAGATGGGTCAGATAATTAGTGCTATCATATCGACCTGTAGATTCATGATAGAGCCTTTATCAATAGAGCCATGCATGTGAGTTAATAATTGCTGTTAGTGACCATGAGTTGGTGTCTAAGTATCTTTGATATATTGTTATAGTTTTTTAGTTAATATTTTTTACATTTTTTATTTCCAACTATATATATATATATATATATATATATAGTAAGTAATTTATGGGACTGATTCACCCAAAAAAAAAATTCATATATATATATATATATATATATATAGACATTTATGGGACTGATTCACCCAAAAATAAAATTCTGTCATCATGTACTCACCCTCATGCTGTTCCAAACTTTCTTTTTTGCATGGAATACAAAAAGTATTATTTCATAAGCATTTTCTATGACTTTTGTGCTACATTCCAAGTCTTCTGAAGTCATATGACAGCTTTGTGTGAGAAACAGAACATAATTTAAGTCATTATTTGCTGAAGATCTTCCCGTCTGTCCCAGTTCTTAAATCTCATTAGTTCTTTATTCAGTTCGTTACATATATATATATATGCTTTTTTAGGCATAAATCTAATCTCATTTTAATGATGTTTATGCTTTAAACTTTTTTTTGCCCGTTTTGTAAAAAAATGTTGCTTCTCAAAAGTTTGGGGTTAGTAAGATTTTGTTTGTTTCAGCAAGTTCACATTAAATTGATCAAAAATAACAGTAAAGACATTTATAATGTCACAAAATTCAAATAAACTTCCAACTTATCAAGAAAATCGTGGGGAAAAAAAAGTTTTACCACGGTTTCCACAAAAATATGAAGCAGCACAACTGTGTTTAACATTGAAAATAATAATAAATGTTTCTTGAGCAGCAAATCAGCATATTATAATAATTTCTGAAGAATCATGTGACAATGAAGACTGGTGTAGTGATGCTGAAAATTCAGCTTTGATCACAGGAATAAATTACATTTTAAAATATATTAAAATAGAAAATAGTTATTTTGAGTTACAATAATGTCCTAATATTACTGTTTTTATTGTATTTTT